TTTTGAGACAAGGTCTCATCCTGTCACCCAGGCTGCAGTGCAGTAGTACAATCATAGCTTGTCTTAGTTTGTTCTCAGCTGCTATAAAGAACTGCCCAAGTCTGGGTAATTTATAAAGGAGGCCAGGCATGATGGCTCACACCTGTAATCCCAGCACTTTAGGAGGCCGAGGTGGATGGATCACCTTAGGTCAGGAGATCAAGACCATCCTGGCCAACACAGTGAAATCCCGTCTTTACTGAAAATACAAAATTAGCTGGGTGTGGAGGCAGGCGCCTGTAATCCCAGCTACAAGGGAGGCTGAGGAAGGAGAATAGCTTGAATTCAGGAAGTGGAAGTTGCAGTGAGCTGAGATCGCACCACTGCACTCCAGCCTGGCAACAGAGTGAGACTCCACCTCAAAAAAAAAAAAAAAAAAAAAATTATAAAGGAAAGAGGTTTAATTGACTGACAGTTCAGCATGGCTGGGGAGGCCTAAGGAAACTTACAATAAAGGTAGAAGGTGAAGGAGAAGGAAGGCATCTTCTTCACAAGGCAGCAGGAAGGAGAAGGGCTGAGTGAAGGGAGAAGAGCCCCTTATAAAACCATCAGATCTCCTGAGAACTCACTAACAGGAGAACAGCTCGTAGGAAACTGCCTGCATGATTCAATTACCTTCACCTGGTCTCTATCCTGACATGTGGGGATTATGGAAATTATGGGGTTTATAATTCAAGATGAGATGTGGGTGGGAAGACAAAGCCTAACCAAATCAATGGCTCACTACAGCCTCAATCTCCCAAGCACGAATGATCCTCCTACCTCAGCCTCCTGAGTAGCTGGGACCACAGGAGTGCAAAACTACTGCCAGTTCATTTTTAAATTTTTTATAGAGATGGAGTCTCATAATATTGCTCAGGCTGTGCTCAAACGATTTGGCCACCTCAGCCTCCCAAAGCACTGGGATTACAGGTGTGAGCTGCTGCACCTGGCCCAGAGAACACGTTTTGATCATATTAACGTATGCAAGCAATGTTGTAACAGAAAAAAAATGAACTAGACGGGACTGGGCGTGGTGGCTCACGCCTATAATTCCAGTACTTTGGGAGACCGAGGTGGGCGGATCACCTGAGGTCAGGAG